TGACCAACTCAACCAACAGTAGTGGAGACGGCGCAACCATCGGAGCAGACAGTACGGCCGATGGTTGCGAGGACAACACCGACAAGGAGGACTAGCCAGCACTAATGACGAGTCTCACAATAGCGTACCAGAATGTGAAAAGTCGGGCTGCTGCTGCTGCTAGCATGGTGCCAACGCAGTGCACCGATCAGGCACCACACCGGTGCTAGGTGGATAGGCGACGGGTCTCGCCAGAGACAGTAACAATCGCGGTAGCACTCAAGCGAGCCCCGGTATTTTCCGGGGCGAGCGCTAAAAGCCCGGCGCCAGCCAGCCATAAGACAAGGTAGGGCCGAAAAAGTGGTCTTTTTTTCAGTTACCCATTCAATTTCGTTCAAACTTCTCAGATCGGTGCAAAATGTGCTAATTTGAATAGCACGCGAACATTTCAGTCAGTTGAAGCCCTCGTTCGCGAGATATGACTTATTTTTTAAAACGCGTATGCGCACAATTATAACATGTGCACGCATGCTCACGCGACATCTGCGCAAGATGAGGCTGTCTCCACGCACAATCACCAGTTCAGTGAACAGAGCGCTCGATCGTCATCCAGATGACCTCGGGTTCGAATGTCGTTTTTCTGTCATTGCGTAAGTTCAATTATCTACACGACTTCGTTCAAATTTCTCAAATCAGTGCGGAATGTCTCAATTAGAGTAGCACGCATGCGCTGATGACAAGAAATCATTCGCGAGAAATGTCATGAAACTGTTCGTGACGTGGAGCATTCGTGCCGAGCCATTTTTATGCGATCTTTCGCGAGATATAGTTAGTTCAGTAGCGAGGTTGATTTGTTTCACTAATTTCTGTAACTGTTCAGCGTATGAAACAAAATATATTTAGTAAGTCTTGTTGGTAACCTATTATATCTGATATCACTTTTTCTCTAGCTCACCACGCCTGTACACTTACTTGGCGGTTCGGACAGATTTTCTGGCCGAACCGCCCCAGCAGCAGTAATGCCTTTATTTGTTTTTCCTCTTCGTTCGTTTCTTTCATCATATGAAAGTACTGCTCCATAGGCCTCTAAGATTGAAATGTGCATCACAAGTTAGTTGCTATCACGGCAGTGCCGTTTTGGCTTCGACGAAGCACGCTTGTGGCTCTCATTTTTCACCTAGCGTCCTCATATCTTCTCGCACCGGACCCTTGGTGATTGCGTCGGAGTTCACGAAATGTGTGCCTTGCTATCAACTCAGCTCAATCGCGCAAGGTGATTCTTCTCGGAACATGTAGAACTTGTGTCTCTGTCGATCACGGCATTGTTTTGGGCCAGGCTATTCGTCACTCATAGTTGGGTTATCTGAGATAACCCATCTGAAATAACTTATCTCACCAGGCTTGACGCCCAGGTTACATATCTTACGGCCAATATTCATGGCACATTGTTGATGTAACAATCTGTCCCGTGATCAGTCTGGGCTTGAATGACCTATATGATTCTTAAAGTTTCATCGGTTTCTAGGATGAAATACGTTTCGCGAGTTCCCTCTATCGATGTGCAATGCTCGTCGGGGTCAGTAATCTCGTGCTGAAGTATGCGGAAGGTTATTCAGCACGAGACACATTCGCAGAACTCCCTAACACTCAATCCTACATCGACGGAGAGTTCGATTATTTCTTTTATGAGTTTACTTAGTGTCACATCCATGTTGCAGGACCAACCATTTTTTTGCAACTCGGAGCTTACGCATATCTTCTCCCGATATACTAAGTACACTGGCTTTCCCATCGTTAAACATAGTAAATCTCATCGTGAAATGTTAGTTGTTGAATTCACACACACGAGCACTTGAAGAACAAGTAATACAAGATGAAATCATTGTGCAATTGAGTCAGACATTGAATAGGGTTTTCCACAACGGCGAGCGAGGCTTGCGGGGGTTCAACCGCAACAACACGAACGCTCAGAATATATATTCAAAATATCATCATATTGTATTCATGAAGATGTGCAACCCAAATTCACTGAGCACTCCAGAACAGTGTGATCAGATAACCCTGCGGGTCGCTTATTTTAGCAGTTGGCACAACTAATACAGCTATTTTGAAACAAGCTGACAGCTGTCAATAACTGCAAGGCCCAAACTCTTACACTTAATTGACAAGCAAGACACCTGCCATATGGCGGTCTTCCGCTGAAAGAATCCGAGTTTATAATAAGCGAGTCTTAGCACCACCTATATAATCAAGAGGATCTTTCTCATAGCTACTGGACAATGGTGAACTTTTTTACTGGTAATCAACTGATCCACGTTAGTTCTTACTTGACATCCTTGGCGCTAGTGGCGACACACTTACCAAGCATGACAACACCGTTACCCTCCATAAGAGCAACACGAGAGAGACCCTCGCAGTGCTTGAAGGAGTCGACAACAAGGTGCTGAAGAGGCTCGAAGACGACCTCGGCCATCTCGTTAGACTTCAAGGAGTGGGGATCCTCCATCTTCTTGCCACCGGTCTCCTTACCGACCTTCCAGTTGATCTTGGTAAGCTTGCAAGCGGAACGGCCAGTACGGACGAAGGCGATGGGAGAGTAACCGACCTTGATCTCACCGGGGACATCCAAGATCTGGACCTGGGCGGTGAAGTTACCGACGTGCTGAAGAGTCTTATCAGCCTTGGAGATCATGCAATCACCAACACGGGGCATGTTATCCTTGTTGAGACCCTTGACGTTGAGACCGACGTTATCACCGGGAAGAGCTTGCTCCTCGCGCTTGTGATGCATCTCAATGGTGAAGACCTTGCCGCTGCAGGGAGTAGCGGGGGTATGAGTGGGCATGAAGATGACATCCTCGTTGGGCTTGACAACACCCTGCTCAACGCGGCCAGTGAGAACATCACCGACACCCTTGATCTTGTAGATACCGGAGAGGGGAACACGCATGGGAGCATCGACGACACGCGCGGGGACAGTAGCGAACTTCTCAAGAGCATCATACAAGGTATCCACGTGGAACTTCTCGGTCTCCTTGACAGTTCGCTGGACATCCATACCCTTCCACCAGGCCATCTTGTCGGACTTCTTGATAAGGTTATCACCGCACCAGCCAGAGATGGGAAGAATGGGGACGCACTTCTCAACGAAGTCCTTCTTCCAGCCAACACGGCCGAGCATGTTCTTCATCTCATCACGGATCTCGGTGTAACGAGCCTCCTTGTAGCCGGCAACATCGGAATCCATCTTGTTGACACCAACAATCAACTGCTTGACGCCCAACAAGTTAATAAGACGGGCATGCTGACGGGTCTGACCCTGGATCTCACCAGCCTTGTGGTTACCACGGGCAATGGCGGTACCGAAGTTACCATCAGCGGGAACCATGAGGAGGGCGACATCAGCCTGAGAGGCACCGGTGATCATGTTCTTGATGAAATCCCTATGGCCGGGGGCATCAATAACGGTGTAATGCCAAGTCTCAGTGAAGAACTCCTTGGTAGTGCAAGCAATGGTAACACCACGCTCACGCTCCTCCTTTTGGCGATCCATATAGAAGGCGAAGGCGAAGGAGGACTTGCCAAGACGGTCGGCCTCGGCCTTGAGCTTCTCCATCTCTCTCTCGGAGACACCGCCGAGTTCGAACAACAAACGACCGGTGGTGGTCGACTTGCCGGAATCGACGTGACCGCAGATCACGATGGACATATGAGTTTTCTCTCCAGTGGCAGCCATGGTTTTGCGCGGAAAACGTGTAAAGCCTGCAAGAACAACATCAAGGGTTACCCCAAAGGACTCCTAATCTCAAGCGACACGACCTCAATTCTTGTGGCATTCACCAAATCATGAAGGGCTAACGAGAAACTTGTCTGTCGTTCGAACCGTAGCTTCGCTGCTATACCAAAATCGATCACGCTTTGTGCACGCGTTCAAATACCAGCGCATGTTCATTGTGTTGGGCGTCTACTTCGTAAGCAGCCGTTCGTTTTCTTTCCGATTCGACTAGGCATAGGATTGACTACATATCCTCTCTTCCACAGCTCCATTCCTACGAATTGCGTCTACCAAATGTGGAAATAACTACACCAAATACCTCAAAATTACCTTCTTCAGTACTACAAGCCTTCACCCGACGAGTCCGCTGCTTTGTGTCACGTGTCCCTAACTAAGAACGACTCTCAGTGGCAATAAATAACCCAACCATAAAGATATCGAAATGTCATATGTGCTTAGTCGGTGATATTAACTACTGCTACTGAAAACGATGACATCTCTGAGATTCATCTAAATATGAAATAATATACTTTCCACACTTCCCTACTCTTACCTTACCAGTTTGATCCCATCAAAACTAACTAATCCTAACAACTATCCATAGTCAGCTTTGTGTCGCCCGCAGCTGCTAGAAGTATCTTCTCATAGATTGTGTCCATGTCCGACACAAAGGATTCCTGCAACTGCGTCTGTGGTGCAAGTCGTTTCAGCGCACTTGCACACAATGGTAGCGTGTGTGTAAACTATTAATCTGTATTTTCATACCAACATTATTACATACACGTACAATTATTACATATTACGTACAATCTACCATGTCAAACGTGTATAATTTAGTTTCCACAAAAAAATACCACCATTATTGTTCTGTCCTGATACTAAGTGACATAAACTATATAAATAGTACGATATAATATACTTTAATATGATATAATAGCAGTATTACTAATATGATGACTTGTGAAATTTAATTATATATTATTTTGATATAGTTTATACTGTATTGTATCTATTAGTGAGAATATAAGGTATATATATCTGTTAACAGACAGGGAGGGCTATAGATGAGGATATTTCTAACAATATCAATAGTGGGTTAAAATAATATACGATTATCCGAGCAAGGTGGCATGCTTCTTTATAGTCTAGCTTGTAGTTCTTTTACCTGGCTTGGTATATTAAGCCGTGGGAAAACTATTTCTGTGATAGAATATCACTCAAACCGCTCGGGAGGGATGGGTAATGTATGCTTGCGAACGATAGTTCTTGCTTCCAGTTGTGGAATACATCGGTTTATGCACCGTTCTGTAACATTGGGAAGGTTGCTCACGTAAGTGTGGTATTGTGAGTTTTATTAGGAGTTGTCTATTGCTTTCTGCATGAGCCATCATTGGAAGCTCCTTCGGCTGCTACTCTTCGTGTTTCTGGTAGTATGCTGGGGTTGTGAATCCGTCCTGTGGGACAAATTGTTTTAAGCGCATATCCATTTTATCAATTGATCTTCGGATGTTTCTGTCGGATTTAATCATGGTAGAGCGTAGTGATGCGAGCAATTATATATATAATTATATATCATTTAATATAGCATTTAATTATATATATTTCTAATGTTGGTAATACGTAATGTAATATAGATAATGTCACATGATAATAATGGAGTTTCACCACCCTAGTGATATGAAAAACACTAGTGAAAAACATATTTCACGACTACTGCATGGCGCAAATTTCAGGGTTTTCACCGAGTTTTACGCCACTTCACGTAAAACGGGTGAAACTCCAATATACAATAAATATATATTAATACATCTATAGCCACCATATATGTATTTATACGGATATCCATATTAATAATAAATTAGATGATAATAATAGCATTGAAAATCTTTCCGTTCACTTCGAAAATGAGTTGTCAAGGAAGAGTCATCGTCACCACGTAGGGAGCTAGGCAGACCTATTCACCCATCCTGAACCTATTTGCAGGCTATCGTAGCTGGCGCGGTTGCTGAGAAGCAGGATGCACGTGGACAGCCCAAGCCGGATAAATTCCCTTTCTTTGTTCCTGTCCAAGTCGTGAAGCCCTCTAAAGATCACAATAACCTACAAGTAGAAGAGTTCAATACCGTCACAATGAGAATCTACTCGAACCTTGGTAGTAGGTTGTACCAGAGTCTATAAATCTCCTTCGATCCGCATCACAACGTCGTCCTATTTCCGTGATATCGGTCGTTGGGCCCTACCATTCTGGCAAGAGCTTCTTATTGAACTCCCTACTCCAAAAGCCATCAACATTCTCTGTTGGTAATACCATAAATTGCGATCATCATCTCCTGCGATTGCCACTTGGACAGGTCCTAAGACCTCCCCGCAGACCCTAGGCATCTGGATGTGCCGTACAGACCTTAGCGCTCCTGATGGGTCCGAGATATGGCTCATGGATTCTGAGGGTTTCTTCGGCCCTCAGGTAGTAGGCGGCTCTTCTCAACTAGGGATGGTCGTTGTGTAGGTGACCGAGACTTACGACGCTAAAATTTTCACAGTAGCCACCCTGCTGGGCAGCCACTTGGTCTACAACACGGTTAAGGTTATCGATCAACAAGCGGTGAACCTTTTGGGTGAGCAAAAAGCGCCTCATCCCATCGCACAATGTTGTGAACTTTACTTAGAAATGTTGGCTCGTCGTGCCCAACTCTTCCGAGTGCGCTCCTTGGCACCCTCTGCAGTAGCTGAGGATCACGAGAAGAGCGTAGCAGAGGCGTCGGCGGCTGAGATACCAGTGTTCCTATCAGCGAAGACCTTCCCACCCCTCACATGGTATAGCCTACATAAACTGTTGATATGTATTGGATTTCCCTTGTAGGGTGGTTGAAGATTTCGTACAGGACATGGCTGCATCACAAACTGGTGCTGGAGCCTCAACTATGACCAACGACTCGGCCATCGCAACGGAGTGGCTCAAATCGTAATACTTGTATGGGAGGAGGGCTCTTAGTTATCCGTGGTAGATACCTGAGCGGAGGAAGCAAGGGCTTTGACGGATCTGAGGGTAGTAGGAGGGGCCGATGAACATGAACCTAGAACTCACCATCTATGTTGGGGAAATTGTCTCCCACGGCTGCATTGCTTGTCTCTGTAACTTCTCTGAATGGTATTTTATAAGAAAGTACGATTATCATTAACCATGAAGTTGCATGTTTCTCAGATTCGTATGATGAATCTGATCGTGCCTATCTAGCCCGGCTCTTCCCCTCGTTGACTGTCCATACGCTCTTTCTTCCGGCTACCACCAAATCACAGTTGAAGGATCTCAGCCAGTAACGAGGCCAGCCGTAGATGATTGTAAGGAGCCCTCTGATTAGATTGAGTTGGACTGAGCTTACCGATGAGTTCCGTAAAGAAGTCACAGCCTTGCGCGGGGAGCTCTTCACCACGGTCAGATCAAAGGTGGGCTGACGGGCGCACTTCATTGGAGCACTACGTCGTTGGGGTGGGGGGCAGGGAACTCGTATAGGTTGGAATAGGTTAGTATTAGTTTGCCTGTAGGAGCTCTATGAAGAATCGCCTGAGGATGATGATGTGCTCTCTTCCCCTGAGGACGGTATGATGACAGCGGAAGGCTTCGCGAGTGCTTTGAACTTCATAGTTAAGGCTTTGCAAAAGGGTAATGGAGCCTGTGGGGCCCGACGGTTCCCGAGAGGGAAGCTAACCGGCTGGGTTGAGGGATTCTCTTTGCATAGGTTTCTTCCCGGAGTTGCCATCCTTATGGGCATCGTGGAGAGCTCAGGTTGGTGAAGTGTCCCTGAAGGACTCGTAATATAACAGTAACCACAAAGACTGTAGAGGATTACAGTTGGCAGATACGAGCTCTTCGAAGCCACCCTAAGTGAGGGGGTATCACCCCGGCCCACAGGAGAGGCTGTTTCTGCAGCTGAGTTCGACAAGGCCTCGGCAGATGCCCGGGACAAGGCGGTGGAGTTCTACACTAACTTGGTATTGTTTTGAGCTTCGAACTTTGATGACCTATTGTTTACATGGTAGGTTGCGGATTTTGGCCTACCTACACGTAACGATGATCTCGAGATGAAAATGCGCGACTCGCAAAGGTAAGATCCACCGTTGGTCAACGTGTTGTTAGCGTGATGAGGTTTTAGGAAAGCGCACGCCTTATGGCTGGAACAAGTTCAGAATTACATCGCTCGGGTTCGATCTGATTTGGTGACGGATATCGAGCAGAAGCTCCTGAACGTAGTAGAAGGGAACTGCTGGAGGGCTTCTTATACGGGATGGATTATCTAAGCATTGGTGAATGCTTAGATATCTTTGCCCTGTGAGCCTGATACTCTGGAGCAAATTGGGAGAGAGGCGACTAGTTTCGAGGTTATCAAGTACGACTGGACGGGCCAGTACCATCCCTCGAACGCATTTGACAGATATAAAGGAATATTGAAGGAGTATGAACAGCAGCAGCAGCCCCAACAGAAGAGGCTACTGTCCGCCGACTGGGTGGGTTTGCTGGCAGATTCACATGGGGATGGCTTTGGGAGAAATGTTGGCTCAGATGGTTGGACGTTTACCTGAGTTCGATGAGGACCCGGTTCAAGAGTTGACGAAGAGTGCTGATGCGCTGTTGGTTCGCTTCAAATACGAGAATGACAGGCAATGCTTGTTTCGCTGGTGGCCTGTCAGGCTCGAACTTTGATCTTGTTCAGAGCGATCTCGAGTTTGATCCGAGTGGCTCTGGAGACAAGTATAAACGCGTGTGATGCCGCTGTTGACGAGGCCAACACTAGGCTGGTCGGAGATGCGGTCCTGCAGGATTGGGCTAAGGGTGTTATGGCTGAGACCATCGAATCTTTTACTAAAAGATGCACCAGAGAGTAGGCGGAGCGTAGCTGTTGTGGCGACGACCTTTTCTGATTAGGTATCCCTGGATTGCCTCCCAGCCTGAGTTCCGTTCGAATAAGGCATTGTTGATACAGGAAGTGAAGGATCGTATTGATACCTGTACATCGAAACATGCAGTCCGACTCGCTGAGCATTTGAGGCAAGAGGTACTACCACAGTGGAATACTAGGGCCGTATACAGCGCGTGGTTGCTCGCATCCAATTATGGATCGTCGATATTGTGTGTGTGCTTGGTGGTGCTTCACTTTCGTACTCATTTGATTGGACTAATTCTTCCGGCGGTGGAGGAACTTGAGTTCCGATCGTTCCTGAGCCTTTCTTGACCTGTCTTCACCTTTTACAGGTTGAGACACTGATGGGGGAGTATAGAGCGGAGAAGAGGAAGCTTGAGATGACCGCATTGCCGGCTGATGAGGCTGTTCTTAGACGGGACCACACTGCTATCACTCAGGATGTGTTGGACCGGTTCGACAGCGATGAGGAAGCGTAGGAGCCCCACGACTGGTAGCCCAACAAGGCAATGTTGGTGTCTCCGCAGGGTCGCCGATTCGGCTGCATATAAGGACTTCCGCTCGCAGCTGGACCATAGTATGGGGACGGAGTGGGACAGACTACGCAAGAAGAATATCGAGCTATGGAAGGTTTATTCCGATGATGCTACTGCATGTGCTCTTGAGATGAACCGGAAGTAAGGAAACTCCAAAATTTTATGATGTGCCGACGGTCGTATCAGATATGTGAAGGAGTCCTGTCCCCAAGGGTGGATGTGCTTGTTCAAGCTGTGGCCGACTTCTCATGCTGGGCGTGTTAAGGCTAATCTGGACGAGTGTTTCGAAACCAAGGTGAAGAGACATCTTGTGACTCTTCTTCTTCTTCTTCTGGTGGTGGTGGTGGGATGTGCTGCTTTTTTGCAGTCGAGTGTGAAGATGCCGATCTCGATGCGTCAGGCCGTATTTGATAGCTGGTATGAGAAGGAGTTGGGCAAAGAGGCCGCTGAGGTATGTGCTTTGGAGACCGTGATGCGCCTGTCGTTGATCCACCGCGGTAGGCTTGGTCATCGTTCCATCATTAGGTGAGACAGAATCTGATGGTACTCCTCTTCACGCTGACTCTGCCTGTGGTTTGGATAAGTTGGTTGACGACCCGATCCCGAAAAATATTATGATGATGATTGTTAGTTGTAGTAGAATAATGTTGCCAATGAAATGCCGAGGAGTCTACTATTATATTCGCGAGTAACAATATGGATCATTCACTGTGTGCCTCCTCTCTCACGCGGAGTTTCAGCTAAGTTTTGTGTTGCGTGGAGTCCACTTTGACAGGGAACGTTATGGACTTTAGTTTCATCCTCATTATCTTATTAAATGAGAGGATACAATTGCATTGCACTACTCCCTCTATTAGAGGTGGTAGTACGAGCTGAGAAGCCTGGCAGCACTAGTAGTGTAGTTTCCCAAGAGAATGGTGAAGGAGTGCCGTCTGATGACGTATTCGGCGCTCCGTTCAACGTAGATTTCGGAAAAGGCATGGGTTCTGGTATGATTATTCCTATGGGGGGAATCTCTTTTGTACCGATGGGTGAGATATACGACTCGATCGATGATGTTCATGAGCTTGCTGGTGGAGACAAAGCTGTGGTTGCTCAATCGCAGCAGCAGCAGCCAAAGCGCTCCGCCATGGAATGGTCCCTTTGGCGAACCTGTTAATGGAGTAATCGGGCAAATGTTGAATCAGATGATGACGGGCTCCTTGGGAGGGATAGAAGGCGAGTCTACCTTCACTATGAACACTACGACCAGTGAAGTTGTTATTGCTGGTCAGCTTCCGAAGCAGACTTTACGAACTGAGCTCGGTGAAGAAGATAACGGTATCACTGTGAAGCAAGTCGGTAAAGGTATTGTACTGCAAGTGAGGAAGACCAATGGCCCGATGGTGACGGATATGCAAAGATACTATCCGATGTCGGACGACTGCTTGCTGGATAAGACCAAGGTCGTTTATGATCAGAACAGTGGCAAGCTCCGAGTGACTGTTCCTCGGAACCCAGGCATGTCTGCTACTGGTGGTAAAGCGCGGAATTCTGGAACTAATTCGGACGAAATCAAGAGACAACTAGACGAGGAAGCTCAGAAGGATGGTGTGAAGATTCGCTTCGGCGATGACGATACTCTGACCGTTATTGTCCCGATGTCACTTGGCCGAATCGCTACGTTTAATGGGAGCCGCATAGAGTTGGAGAGTGGTAGGGTTGTGACAATACCCGTTGAGATTGAGACGCTATTGGACGAGTATGAGGCGGATGAAGAAAAGATGAGAGAGTATACATTCAGAAGTTCAGAGGTCTCGAAGAACATTCCGATCACCAATGATGAACTATGAGGAAGATATTATGCATCATTAAGTTCTGTCTTTCTCGCCGCACTCCGTGAAGCGAGGTGCGCTTTTATTATAAAATATGTGATGCCTTCCTGCTTGTTGAGTTCAGTTGAGGGTACGATCCAGTCGTTTAGAACGACGATAAAGTGATAAATGTCGTTCACTGCCCATCGCAACCGGCGAGGCTGTAGTGGTTTGTACGTAGTACGTAGCTAGGCTCAGAGTATGTACGTCGAGTTGGCAATTGTTCGAGTGTGTGGTTAGATGTGTTTGAAGATGGCAAGTAAGCTCTGAAATTCATGATTCAGTCAATTGCAGCGTGCCTGTATAATGTGCTATGTGTCGTGTGCGGGAGAAAAATTCATGTTAGAGTTGGCAGTGCCAACTCCAACATAAGTTTTTACTTGCCAACTTGGCGCGTTCCTGCATTTTCCTCACACGTAACCCCCCGAAGACCAAACTTCAAACCCAACAGCAACAAGGATTCACCACCAATCATTACACAGCTGATGTACCAGCTGAACTGACAGAAGTTATCGCGGAGAAGCAAAGAGATTGACTCCATACTAATACCGACTTATAACTGACACGTCCAACCCTGTAGACCCTGGAAGCGCTAGAACTAGTCAAGGCACCAGCACTTACGTCTACAATGGTACAACCACAGGATCAGAATGATGGAAAGCATGACGAGAGGTAATTACATGGGTTCCATATCATACTCGCCTTCCTCCTCATCAAATTCACCTTCTTCCTCAGCGGTGGCATCCTGGTATTGTTGATACTCAGAAACCAAATCGTTCATGTTGGATTCGGCCTCGGTGAACTCCATCTCATCCATGCCCTCACCAGTGTACCAGTGGAGGAAAGCCTTCCTTCGGAACATTGCAGTGAATTGTTCAGCCACCCGCTTGAACATCTCCTGGATGGCAGTGGAGTTACCCAAGAAGGTCACAGCCATCTTAAGACCCTTGGGTGGGATATCGCAGACACCACTCTTGATGTTGTTGGGGATCCACTCGACAAAGTAGCTTGAGTTCTTGTTCTGGACATTCAGCATTTGCTCGTCGACCTCTTTAGTCGACATTCGGCCACGGAAGAGAGCGGTTGCGGTCAGATATCGTCCATGTCTAGGATCGGATGCACACATCATGTTCTTAGCATCAAACATCTGCTGAGTCAATTCGGGCACGGTCAGGGCGCGATATTGCTGAGAGCCGCGAGAGGTGAGGGGGGCGAAGCCCGTCATGAAGAAGTGTAATCGGGGGAACGGGATCATGTTGACCGCAAGCTTACGGAGATCGGCATTGAGCTGACCGGGGAATCGCAAGCAAGTAGTGACACCAGACATAGCAGCAGATACCAAATGGTTGAGGTCACCGTAAGTAGGCGTTGTGAGTTTCAAAGTCCTGAAGCAAATGTCATAGAGGGCCTCGTTGTCGAGTACCATAACCTCATCAGCGTTCTCAACAAGCTGATGTACTGACAAGGTAGCATTGTAAGGCTCCACGACAGTGTCGGACACTTTAGGGGAGGGGAACACGGAGAACGTCTCCATGATCCGATCAGGGTACTCTTCACGAATCTTGGAGATCAAGAGAGTTCCCATACCAGATCCGGTACCACCACCCATAGAATGGCAGATTTGGAAACCCTGCAAACAATCGCATCCTTCAGCCTCCTTACGGACGACATCAAGGACGGAATCAATTAATTCAGCACCCTCCGTGTAGTGACCCTTCGCCCAGTTGTTGCCGGCTCCACTCTGTCCGAACACGAAGTTATCGGGGCGGAAGAGCTGGCCGAACGGACCAGCGCGAACCGAGTCCATAGTGCCAGGCTCAAGATCCATCAGTACAGCGCGAGGAACATATCGTCCACCGGTGGCTTCGTTGTAGTACACATTAATGCGCTCCAGCTGGAGGTCAGAGTCACCATGATAGGTACCAGTAGGGTCGATACCATGCTCGTCGGAGATGACTTCCCAGAACTTAGCACCGATTTGGTTACCGCACTGGCCGGCCTGAATGTGAACGAGCTCGCGCATTTAGAATATTAAATGAAGCTGACCAGGATGAGCATTCCTACGAAAAGGAGGTTCAACAATAAACAATATTCACAACCCAACAAATAAGAGAATGCGCAAAATCATACCGGATGCTTCCATGATGGAGTTGCTTGTGCAGTAGGTCTCCACATACCGATACAATAGTTGCTTGTTCACATATCAAATGCACTTAAAATTCATCACCATAGCCTTCCTCCTCTCCTTCACCCTCAGCGGTCTCAATGCCAACCTCTTCATAATCCTTCTCTAGGGCAGCAAGATCCTCACGAGCCTCAGAGAACTCACCCTCCTCCATACCCTCACCAACATACCAGTGGACGAAGGCACGCTTGGCGTACATCAAATCGAATTTATGGTCAATGCGGGAGAAGACCTCAGCAACGGCGGTGGAGTTGGAGATCATGCACACGGCGCGCATAACCTTAGCGAGGTCACCACCTGGGACGACCGTGGGAGGCTGGTAGTTGATACCACACTTGAAACCAGTAGGGGACCAGTCAACGAACTGGATAGTCCTCTTAGTCTTAATGGTAGCAACTGCGGCGTTAACGTCCTTAGGTACAACGTCACCACGGTACATCATACAGCAGGCCATATACTTGCCATGACGAGGATCGCACTTGACCATCATGGAAGCGGGCTCGAAGACGGAGTTGGTAATCTCAGCGACAGAGAGCTGTTCATGATAGGCCTTCTCGGCAGAGATGACCGGAGCATATGACGTGAGCATGAAATGGATACGAGGATAGGGCACCAAGTTGGTCTGGAACTCGGTAACATCCACGTTAAGGGCACCGTCGAAA